AAAATGTGTTACTTAATGAATTTGTATTATTTTGTATCATTCCGCTACTATTAGTATGTGTGAGACCACAAACATTCAGTTTCACTTATAAACTTGTAATAAAAAAAATCACATTGAGTGTTATTACATCCAAAAATACAATTTTATGTAATAACACTCAATTTTAAAATGAGAAGGTACAATATGTTTCATATTTTCTTCTGACCTAGAATAAAATATATTATTATAAATATATATTGCTTTACTCGATTGTTCAGTTGAGTTCCGTAGTCACCTCGAAGAAAAGGTCAAGCTGGCGTCCAAATAGCTCGGTGTGCTGAATAGAGTGAGGCAGTACTTCACTGCGGACCAGAGACTTTTCTTGTATAAGTCGCAAGTTCGGCCGCACACGGTAACCGTTTACCATCACATGAGCCGTATGCTACCTACGTGGTATAAAAAAAAAGTGTTGATACTTCTTATAATTAGTAAAATTTAATCGTCTGTTGACTTCAAAAGTTACAGATGTTATAGAAAAAGTCTATAAAATTTGTTTTTTTTTTTTATTTGGAAACAAAGTGTAGTTGTGATATCAACCAATACGAGCATATAAATGCTATATAATTTTAGCTAAATCTGAGCGGAGTCTGATGATTTTTCTGCTTACTTTATATGAACATATTTCTTGTAATATCTTCAAACATACTGTATACTTCAAGTGAATAAATAAACAAAACATCGAGTCAATATTACCATACATGGATTATCGAGTAAGATTGCTTAAATCCCATGTCTTATATAGGTAATAAAAAATACTCAATAAAAATTAAACAACAATTTATAAACTAATTGCCGTAATAATGCTAATAATAAACTGTACGCTAAGTAGGAATTACGAATAGTAAAATCAACACTGAACGATTGAAACTCACTAATCCCTACTATTAGTGATGTTCTCAATATATCGATACAATTAGTGAAGATATCGATTTTCGCAATAAAAGATCGATATAACAAATCCTACTTATTTGATTGATCTATACTAAATATTATTATATAGAGGTATTTTATAAAGAAAGTATTATAAATACCAGAAACAAAGCACCGATTTCAGTATTCTTTTATGACGTAGGCCAGCCACCCATAACTTTTTTTTATGTTTAGGTCCAATTTTTTTAAATTTTGCTTAAAAAAATAAATTTTCGCCCTTATAACTTAGCTTTATAATAATAATAATAATAATAATAATAATAATAATAAAACTCTTTATTGTGCATAAAAGAAACAAATAATTACAAAAAGGAAATAAAAAAAAAAAGAAGGATATGCAAACAAAAGGCGGCCTTATCGCTTAAAGCAATCTCTTACAGACAACCTGGGAGATAGAAGCATTGAGTAAGGGGAAGGTAGGTGGCGCACTATAAAAAGTTAGATAATATATGAATACTAAATATACATACATACAAATACCATTAATATACATATATATATATACATATAAATAGAATACATATACATAAATAGAATATATAATTAATTACATGTCTAACAGAACAGGACATTACAGAAAGATTTTTAATTGGAGAGAAAGTGAGATTTTACTAGTTTTTTAAAAATGGACTGGGATTGGGCAGATCTGATAGAAAGTGGCAAGGAGTTCCAAAGACGGATAGCCTGGACAGTGAAGGATTGGGAAAAGAAGTTAGTAGAATGAGGAGGGGTTACCAAACAAAGACGTCTCGTACTGCGCAACTCTCGGTCTTGCGAATCGTTATGAAACACGAAGCTCTGTTTTAAGTAATCAGGAGTGGAAGGATTGAAAAGAATAGAATAAAGGAGGGACAGTATGTGCCAATTCCTGCGAGAACGGATAGGAAGCCACTTGAGTTTATTGCGAAACTGAGAAACATGGTCATATTTGCGGAGACCAAATATAAACCTTATACACATATTTTGAAGTCGCTCAAGTTTGTTTAGCTGTTCTTCAGTGAGATTAGTATAGCAAGAATCGGCATAATCTAGGATAGGAAGTAGTAATGTATGTGCTAGCGTAATCTTGGTATCCAATGGCAGGAAATTTCGCAGCCGATTGAGACCTCCAATTGACGCAAATATTTTTCTGCTCAACTGCGATAATTGATGACACCAAGACAGTGTTTCATCAAAATATATACCTAAGTTTTTAACGCAGACACTATATTCGATGTTATAGTTATTAAAGGTAACAGGAGGAAGATGTTGTGATTTTAATTTGGAGATGTAAGAAGGGCTTCCAATTATGACACATTGCGTTTTTGCTGGATTAATTGCAAGGCCATAAGCTTTACTCCAGTCAAGTATACGAGACAGGTCCATATTAATGTCACGAATGGCGTCGGTTACATTATTTAAGTCAGTCAGTGAGTAAATTTGGAGATCATCTGCATAAAGGTGGTAGGATGAACGAAGATTAAGAGTGATTGAATTGATAAACAATGCGAAAAGAAGAGGAGATAATACGCCACCCTGAGGCACGCCAGCAGTTGTATAGCACCAGGACGAATACTTATCCTCTATACAGATTCGCTGCCGGCGCCCATACAGGTAAGTACGAAACCACTCAATTACCGTTGGAGATATGTTAAGAGAACGTATTAAACCGAGCAAGACATCAAAGTCAACGGTGTTAAATGCATTACTGAAGTCCAGTAACGTTAACACCGTCAACTGCGACTTGTCCATGCCACGTCGAATGTCATCGGTGATTTTGATGAGAGCGGTAGTCGTGCTATGACCCGGACGGAAACCAGATTGGAGAGGGTTGAGAATGTTATTTTCTGAAAGGAATTCAAATAATTGACAGTGCACTAGGCGCTCTAAGACTTTAGACAGAAATGGGAGTATAGAAATAGGGCGATAGTCTGAGGAGGTTGAAGGAGTCCTCTTTTTTGCTATAGGGATTATGTGAGCATCTTTCCACAAGGAAGGGAAGACACTAGAGGATATGGAGTTATTGAGTATGAAAGTAATAGTAGGAAGGATGAATTCAAGGACTGGGATGATCATTTTGCGACTAACGCTATCATTCCCTGTGGCATTCGACGTAATAGCTAATATATTTTTCTTAACATCACAATCGGAGAATTGATTGAAAGAAAATGTGGGAATATTAGGGGTTTAGCAGAGAGAATGTTTAAAGTATTTACTTTGTCGTTGTAGTCAAAACCAACGGAAGAGCAGAAATGTTTATTGAGACTTTCGATGTCTATATTGTTATTACTAGAATTTTGATTTTTTCCAACTCCCAAAGATTTGAGAAATCTCCAGACCTTAGCAGGGTCTCCATTTTCTACGGAGGTGTGAAAGTGGCGACGTTGAGCATCCCTACACGCCTTATTGCAGATATTTCGAGCTCGAACATACATGTCATGGAATTTGTCAGGATTGGCTCGAAACTTAGCCTTAGCCCTACATTTTCTCGCCTGAAGAACCTTTATATCTTCCGTAAGCCAAGGCGCAGGAAGGTGTTTGACCCGCACAGGACGAACAGGAGCATGACGATCGTACAATTTTAAAAGGAAAGAGTTAAAAAGGTGTAATTGTTCATCGACTGTGCTAAGTTCCGAAATCGCCAACCAGTCCAAAGAGGCAGCATCTACACGCAATTTCTCCATATCAATGGTATCAAAACTACGCCGCATTATAACTTTCCGTTTGTTTTTAGGAGGGCGGATTTTGTACGAGACATAGATTAGGTTATGGTAAGAAAAAGCGTCAGCAGGGCACTGACCATGCCTGACAACATGTTCAAGAGAGGATACAAATAAAAGGTCTAACAGAGAAGGATTGGAGTTAGGGAAAAAATGAGTAGGCTGGAGAGGAAGAATATTGAGATTGCAGGATGTGGCAAGAGATCTGAGGCGTTGGGCGCGGTGATCATTTTTTAACAGACACGTATTAAAATCACCCATGAGAATAGTGTGATTGTGAGAAGGAATAAGGTTTTCTAGAGTATTTTCAAGAAGAGCGAAATAGTCAATTGATGAATTGGGACTGTAAAAAACACCTAGAAGTAAATTAGAATGGGATAGGTAAATTTCAATGAAAAGAAATTCTGGCTCATTAGAGGGGTAGGAAATAGTAGACGTACTGACAATTTTATAGGGAATATGGGAACGTAGATAAATGGCAACTCCTCCACCACCTCCCACTGTTCGATCATTACGGATAAGAGTGAAACCAGGTAGTACATATAAACTAGATGGAAGACACGGTTTTAACCAGGATTCCGATATGAGTACGGCATGCACATTTTTTACATCAAAAGATGTAAGCAAATCCGGATAATGCGCTGGAATGCTTTGTGCGTTAATATGCAATACATTAAAATTTTTATTTGTGTTATCAAAATTTATATCTAGAATTTCGTTCAAAGGAATAATCTCACTGAATGTAGAATCATAACTAGAATTGGAGGAAGTTGCATTGGAACAAAGAGAGTTTCGTCTCGACATGTAAATAATATATATAAATATACAATAATTATATAAAATAGTATGTAAATATGCTAATGATTTAAAACTTAACTATAATTAATATCCTATCCAAAGTCCTAAAACAACAACAAAATTATCTACCTGCTAGTAAATTGTAATAAATTTTACATAAAAATAAAAAGAAGAGAAATTAATGGAGTACAACAATATATCAAAACATTGACAAAAAAAAAAAAAAAAAGAGACGATAACGGAACGTAAACATCGCAACTCTACTGTACTGACATTTGACAGCTAAGTTAGGTGTCATTCATTAAATGAGTGACATTTAAAACAATAACAATAAAAAGAATGACTTTTTATGACAGATATAAAACTAAAATTAATTGACATAACAGAAAACAAAAGTTAATATAAAACAAAATAAAAGTGGGTAAAAATATTAAAAATCTACATTAAAAGCTATATTTAGAAGTGCTGTGGTGATTACGCGCCTAAGCGGCATGGTTACGTCTAAATGGGAATATACACAAACACTGTTTACAATCACTTTTTAGCACGCTTTGAGCGAGAATTACCGGCGGCCGGTTGTTTAGAGCTGGTGGCGACTGGTGAGGCTTGTGTAACCGACGGCGACGAATCGATCAGCTTATTAACCTCAGCAATACAGCTGACCCGATGCCTCGAACCATCGTCAGTAATAATGACAATAAAGCCATTATGTGTCCAGCATTTTTTTACGCCAAAATGCTGTCTAGCCGACATAAATGCGCTATGTCGAGACGCAGTTAGAAACTCCGACATTGTTATTCCACTACTCTTCAGTTTCGTCTTTGAATGCCACACCTCATTTCTTACATCCAAGTCATGGAATTTGACGATTATTGGCCGTGGTTTATCTTTAAATGACTGTCCTAGACGGCGACATCGGCGGATTTGGTCAGTAGAAAAGCCATCGATCTCGAGCCTGTCCGCAATCACCTTAGATACCACCTGAGGCACAGATTCTCTTTGAGACTCCGGAATACCATGCAGTAATAGAATCTTCTGGCGGGAGTGCATCTCTAAGTGATCCTGTTTTTGAGTCACTAACTCAACTTGTTGCTGTAGAGTAGTGAGTGCAGAGATAGTAAAGGACTGGAATGTTTTGAAGTTTGACTCCAGTGAAGAAATACTTGCGGGCTCTGACTTTGCCTTCTGCAAGTCGGTCTGGAACTCCATCATTTTTTTGTTAAAATGTTCCATCATCTGCGCCATGGTGTTGTGTAGTGACTCCATAGTTAGTAAAATATATTATTGTTTGGTGAATAAAGAAAGGAGAAAATAGTTCTACAGGTAAATAAACACTGAAGTTATAATTTCATACAATAATTATAGTAAAAATGTCAAAATTATATAATTAAATTAATTTTCATTGAAGAGGTGTTAATATTTGGTCTTATGCGTTTCACAGCTACCCACGAAAAAAAAAGCTTAGCGATATTAATTTTTATAGTAAAACAACGTTTGCCGGGTCAGCTAGAATTTTTGTATAAATCGCTAGCGCCTATGACTTAAAACAAAAATAAATAAAACTGTTTTATGTCATACATCATAAAGAGTATATACTGTAATCTCAGCTGAGGTAAACATTATAGCATAGTAAAGATAGGTGTTTTGACAATAATAATGTTTATTATTTACGTCCGCTACGTTATTATAAAAGTGAATACTATATAAAGTCTTACATGTCTAGTCTTACATGAAATACTCAAGAATATATACACCTTATTATTTTATTCTGTATAAATATATATAACTTGTAACCCGCCAGGGCTTCGCACGGATGCATTTCAAATTTTTAAATTTCCCGTCCAGTTCGTTATATATATACAAACCTTCCTCTTAAATCACTCTATCTATACCTGGAAACTGTAATTTAAAAGATATAAGCAAACAGACAGCAGCGAAATCTTTATTTTATACTATAATAAAAGTATATCATATTTCCATTGTTACATTTATATTGTAGTTTTTGTTTGTACCACATCCACTATAAGAGATGTGTTCTGATTGGTACAGGAAGGAACTTAAGCCCGGCCTAGACATCGTGACCCGGATAAGACGCTGAGCTGAGATCTTCTGAAGTTTAAAGTAGACCTTATAAAATATCGATTGAAGTCTATTGGTGCTATAAAATTGAATTGTATCTGTTACTAGCTGTGCATGCGGCTTCACCTGCGTTAAATTTATAAACTATGCGTTATTTTGATTTATAAGCTATATTGCTGTAAAGGTTCATCTAATTCCGTTCAGTAGTTTTTGCGGTAAAGTGTAACAAACATCCATATATACAAACTTTCGGCGGTATAATATTAGTAAGAACGGCGGCCTTGCTCGTGTGAATTCTAGTAAAAAGTATAACGTTGCTAACGTACTGGCCACATACTTTTATAGTTCATATTTAGATTTTTTATTATTAAATAAATTATAATATTTTTTGAATACAGAACATTAGTCTAATAAAGATTTTGCCAATTAACAAAATATCCTATATCTTAAAGTAGAATATAATCTGTCTCTGTATCGAGTTTCATTCGAATCCGTTCAGTAATAATACATTAATGCGAAATCGGATAAGTCCTTAAAAACTTTAGTATTATTTGAATTTATCTGTATGTTATGTATTTTTTTTTTAATAATCATAAGTCATATTACATTGTTCGTTCGTCGTTCTCATTTAGTCACTTTTAAAAGCGTATAAACATATATAAAACACCGATTTCACTTGCATAACAATCACATATTAATTACTACAAGATTAAGAGTTTCTATATTGATAATATGGATAATGGATTTATGTTATTTTAATTAATTCCACTACCATTTGCATGTGTTGTGTTGTATACTTAATTCGGAACTAGATGACGCTGTGTGCTTTTCTTGAAGATTGTTTTTTTTATAAATGTCAGTGGATTATCGACAATGCCTGATTCTCATCACTATCCGCGAACAGAAGCCAAACTTGACTCAACGTGAATGCTATCAGGTGAACTTAAGTGGGATACCGTAAAATTATTACTTTAAGGCCACCTGCTGGCTTATGACAAGGGGGATAAGCGACAAAATATAGCGGTCTACCACTACTATGAACGGATTATGGCGCGTAATACCAAATTATTATAGCCGGGTTATAATGTCTCGATGTAATGAGAGTCTAGGTTTTTGTCGATGTTTATTGTATTAGTTTAATATGGAATTTTTTTAATTAAAAATAATTTACAAACATAATACATACATTATTATATTTATTCACTGTATTTCACCTGAATGTACATATTCTATATTTATAAGTGTATAGGCATATAAAAGCTGTAGGAATTTAGATAGATTTGCATTCCAAATTTCATCAAAAACTCAGATACAAAACAATGTTGCATATTTTATTTATGTATTTTATCACCCGGCAACCCCACGTCTTCACTTTTACCACGTAAGCGCTGGCTGATCTACACCTGCATGATAATCTATAAGTACTCTGTGCGATGAGTATTTTATGTATGCCCCCTCCAATTGATTTCCCGTCCAATTCAAATGGGGATCGAAATTACGACGGCCTGAGCCGAGGTTTTAACCCCTAGCGGTGCGCAGCCTAAAGTCGTATCCGTCGGCGGGAGTTGGCCTTCAGCCGCTCCATAAGTCCTTCCGCGGGTTTGGAGTGCCATCTGCATTCGCCCCCTATCATCCGGTGAGCTGTAAAGGCCAGCTGCGGCCAAGTGTATTAGAGTAGTCCGAAAAAAAAGTATTTTATCTCTATGTTTAGTTAGTCTGTGCCGAAAAGATGGTATGAGAGCCGGCATATTTTGTTGTATATAGTAGTTATAAATATATTATAGTATTCCTTTAATCTAGAATTAGAATTAGAATAGTTAATAATCGATAATTAATTACAGAATAATTAATAATTAATCAAAATTTTAATTAATTATAGAACATTTAGTAATTAATAATTAATAGGGGTTAATTTGAGAATTGTGGTCCAAGTATCTCTGAAAAAGTATGATTGACGCTGACTCAATTAATCCCACAAAAGGTTCTATTGAAATATAAAACGTTAATTATGAAATCCGGTTGGACCATTTTAGGGACATTTTCAGCGGAATTATTCGGGTTCATAATAATATCCGGATATAATTTTGCGAGCAGGTGGTAATGGCTTCTTCATTTAAAATATCCCTTTTTGAGGCCCCGCAAAAAGGGTATTACGAGCGTGAAGCTTTTGCCAGCCAGTTCTTATTGCAGTGTTGGTTTTACTTTGTTTTGTTGAATGAAAATAGTTTTGTTATTGTACGGTCGGTGCGGTGATATTTTCGTTAACGATACTGAATTAGACCCTTACTAGCGTTTGTTATTGTTATTGAATAACAAATTACAACATAAAATATAGTTGTATTATAAACATTCACATTAGACCCCTGAGTAGCATTTGTTTACAGGCGACGATTGACAGTTTTTCAGTTTTTTAACTGAAAAAGTGTCAGCTTGTTTGCAATTACAGTTATATAATGTAATGTAAATTGAATTCTATTTTTAACTCTGGGCATTGTGCGTTTAGAGCCTAGACTACTAGAGTAGCCAGCCAAGCTCCTCCCAATATCGCAGAAGTCACCTGGTGTCTTCATAGGCTTCACTGAGCGACCTCACCGTTCCGAGGATTTGTTTTCGTGGTGTGGCCACTGCTACGCACTCCAGGATTACGTGAGCAGCCGTTTCTTCGGCTTTAAAGCAGCCCCGACCAAGGGGACTGTCAGTAGCGCCTATTGTGTACAGGTGTTTGTTTAAGGGACAGTGGCCCGTTATAGTTATATAACCAAAATAATAAGATTTCAGTATAATTTGTTTCTAATACTAAAACTGTGTGCGATGGTATTTACGGTAAAGACACCGAATTGAACACTGAGTGGCGACATTTGTTAGTGGCGTAACAAATTAATGGTTATTGTTTGTGGAGTCGAAGAGTCATTATTTTGTGGTTGGATTTGTGGTGTTAGTTATTGGGATAGAAATGTGTTAGCTGCAACTGCAGTTGAGAGTACAATTTATGAGGGAAATAAATAGATAGCGTGGTTTGCTCACCAGATTGGGCGCTGTCGAAGTTTCTAATAAACTGTATATAAATAATGCTCGTCTACTTTCAATACAAGTATTGAAAGTAAACGGTCAAAAATATCTTAGTCTTACCTTTTTTTACATAATAAAACTCCCTAATGGAAACTCGTGAGGCTCAGGGTTTTTTTTTTATTTATGTTAATAGAATGTTGCACTGGCCTGCGTTAACAGTTTACGCTGGCCGGGCATAAGATGAGCATCATATCAGGTCAGTTAGTCCATCGTGACAAATTCATCAGAAATTTGTTAAGATGGTTTCCAGGGAATACTTCGATAGTAAGTTAAAATTACAGAAGACGTAAGGTCTTAGTCCTCTTGAAAAGAAAAGTATCGAGAAAGTGATATGATGACATGATGTACGGTGCTACGACGGTAACTTCGCTTATATTAAGCAGCATTCCGTAATGCAGTTCAATATAAGCGAAGTTACCATCTACCATTAGGTGGATTATAGTTTGTTTGCATTATCTTTAAATACAAAAAAAATTGTAGATATCGTATTGACTTAATACATTCATATACGATTCTATCTCTTTCTGTCACACACACATACACACTTACAAACACAAATGTTATTTTTTTATTATATATAACTATTTTATAAAAGCAGTAATTATTATCTCTCATCCATACCAAAGATAACATACTTTGACATCCACGATATGGGCATTGTAGGCTCATAGATTAACTGTACCTCTAATTATATTGATGGTATTTATATTATATTGTCCAATAACACAATTATGTATACAAAATTAGTAGAAACAAACAGACATCCCGTAATTAATAGTACAAGTAATTCGCACCGTGAAATTATTCCTGGTAGGACGGTGCTAGTACACACATCGTGTATTGCTTTCTAAAAATACTTTTGTTTATTTATTACTCTTTACAATTAATATAATTTATAAAGTAAGTTAATACACAAGGCGGTCGGATGGCGGGCTTAAATAATCTCTTCCAAACAAGATAGACGAGAAAATATAGAAGGTGGTAGATGGTGCATGAATGGACTGAAAGTAAATGTCTAAATAATATTATAAATATTTTTATGTTCTTACTAACGATCCGTCCCGGATTCGCACGGATGTCTTGCAACTATTTAAATTTCTCGGCTTGCTCTGCTAACGTACGTACGTAACGTACTATGATATAAACCTTCCTCTTGAATCACTCGTATCTATTGCTGAAAACTGTATTAAAATCCGTTATTAATATTACATAATTTAAAAGAAATAAGGGATCAAACAGCAGCGACGACTCTGTTTTATAATATGTAAAGAATATCATATTTAAATAATGGATTACTATATATGGTAAATGGTCTTCTTAGTAACGTTATACATAAATAGTAGAGTATATAAGCTCTAAATAATATGTCAAAGAGTTTTTGGATTTTAGTTATGCAATAAATTGAAGGAACCCTGTATGACAAGTATGAACAGGTTATATGGTGTTTGCTGGAGGAATATTGCTATATTTAAGTTATTGTAATAAGGAAATAAAAAATTGTTAGAATTTACTGTACACTGAATTTAATAGTGACGCCACGGAAAGTTCTAGAAGAAGTGAAGAAATGTATATAAAGTAAAACAAAACAATATTAATATTATGAGCGTAACGTTCCATTTTTAAATTTAAAAAAAAAATATTTTTCAATATATTATATATATATTTATATATAGCTATTTGCAATTGAAAACATATGGGGAAATAAAATTGTTATTTCTATGCAATTTTTTCATATTTACTTATCACTTAATTCTACTTTGGAGTTGTACAAATATTTCAAAACCAAAATTAGCCATAACGATCCAGCCATTCTCGTGTTTTAGCAAGATTAATAAATGTCAATTCTTTTTTATATATAAGAGCTGTTCCCGCGACTTCGTCCGCGTGGAATATAACTTTATTTTTCTAAAATAAAAGTTAAGCCTAAGTTACTCCTTATTACATCAGCTAACTACAAAAAAAATCCCGTCAAAATCGGTCCAGCCATTTCAGAGATTATCCGGAACAAACAGATAGACAGACAGACAAAAATTGTAAAAATTGTAAATTAGGGTAACTATATATACCGTATTTATATTCATATGCATGTATTAAAAACGGTTATTTCAATATTACAAACATAAACGTCAATTTTATTATATGTATGGATTCGTAATCAAAATATGTACGCACACGTGCGGTTTCTGCAGAAGAGATTTCCTGTTTAGAAGGGACGCAGTAGGTGCCATCTGTCTCGTGGCGAAACAATTTGTTTTTGCTTAATTAGGAATGATACAGATAAATTAGAATATATGTATGTGTTATATATACGTGTTTATTGCGTCGACTTATGAACCACAAAGGTCGTAGGTTCGTTTGTGGCCGACAACAAAAACTATCAATTATCAATTTCTGATTAAAACTCCAATAATGATGGGTGAGGGAATATTTGATTAATTGCAGTAGGAAACCCATGGGGTTTCCAACTAATTGACTTCATTGCTAGTATTGTTCTATGTTAGGTGGACCTCCATGCGGTTCCCCCTGTATACAAATGTGATTCTTAGCGGCAAGTGGCGGTGGTATGGGCTGGTGTCAGTCCTAGTCTAGTCTCTAGACTCAAATTAAGCATTGTGCAGTGGGGGGTTTGTTAATAATAGTGAATCACTCATTTATTCATAATTTAAGAGCTATGCTCTTGTCGGTGGTGCCGAAGGTGGAGTGAATCACTATTTGCAGCCTATTGCCCTATTGCCTTTAAACATTATGAGCAGGGGGTTGCTGCTCTACTCGATGACGAGCTTTACGTAGTCTCCTCTGGAAATCATTAGGGTTATTACCTGGTATACCAAGTTGGGCTACTGACTTTCATTTGCATCCTGTCATCCGCCACTAGTTCCTTGCAAGCATATACCATTAGTGTAGGCGGACGGGCTATTAATTCATTATCTAAATATATATATAATTGGTGTTATATTTATTTAAAAGCAGTATAATGGTACAGAATAATTTCTAAATAAATATACTAAGAACTAGAACGTTTTCAATGTTATTCCAATAATAAAATATGAGTGTATGCTAAAAATAGCGTATATTTTATTATTAGATGTACAAAAAAGTGCCCATGACCAACGAACGAGAACACAAAACACTTGCATACATTGATCGCTAGCAAAGAAACGATCAAACGAAAATAAACAAAGTACGAGCAGCAAAAAACTTAAACTCACAAAGGTCTAACAACTAACGCTGATTCCGTTTTCCTTGCTAACCCGTCGCTCGGTTATCCTTTGTAGCGTTGGCCTTTGAAAGAAAAACATTACTTTTTTTGCTGATTTTCCTATACTTCGAGCATTGTTAGTTTTTTTTAATAATGCTTTGTTATATACTTGTCAGTAACAGAGAGGGCACAATCCTTTTACTGTAAAATAGATGGGCTATTTTCCATTGTACTTTTCTTAAATGATATTCTATTAGAAATACGGTTGGTAAACTAATCTTAATAGAGACCTTTGTGTCACAGTAGTTTACTTATCCTGACGTTTATCCAAAGACACTAACTTCGAAACTTTCTATGTCAATTTGTATAACGCTAAATACAAAATCTGAAAACTTTACAACGATTGTAGCAAACAAGCATACGACCCATCCGATGGGTAACGGTTACCGTAGCCAATGGACGCCTGAAACACTAGCAGTGCATGTGCCAGTTACGCCAACTCTTAAGAAATCTTAATATACCTTATTTAAAAAACTCTAAGGTAGAAAACATTTTAAAGTATTTTTACGAACGAAAAATCGTTCGAAACGCGTCAAATTTTTAAATATTATACATCGCAATAATGAATATCAAATAGTCGCAAAAATGAATAAGTCGTAAATAAAATCCAGTCACAATTTTTCCCCTGTTTAATCCGATGAAATGTCGAAATTCAACACGATTTTTCAATATCGGATATTTTTAATTTCTCTCCATACAAAATATCCGTGCGAAAGCCGGCAGGTGTGGATTTCTCGGCATCCTCTTAGGTACCCCTTTTCGCTTTGAACGTTTTCTTCGAAAAGTATTACGAGTTTCAAGATGGAGAACTTCTTAATATCAATTTATTTTCATAAAATCATTTGATTTATTAATGCATTTATTGTTCACTAGCTGCTATTTGCGACTTTGTTTAAATCATAAAAAAAAATTGCCTAAGTTACTGCTTATTAATTAATATTAGCTATCTGCGAGTGAAAGCCCTATTTCGTAGTATGTATAAAATATACCTTCACGGTTGTTCTACTAATAGTCTTATTTAAGCAGTTGTTCCTGTGGGGACCGCAATAAATTGGGTTGAAATATAACAAGAAAAGAATTAGTAAATAAACAGTTACTTCTAATTGATTATTATTATTAAACTATATTATAAGATCATTGTCTAATAGTTAATCAAATAAATTTCCTTATTTCTAAATATTACATACCATAGTTATTGTAAACTTCTCTGTTTACTTCTTTTTAATCACTCAACTGATTTTATGATAATGACTCAACTGATAACGTTTTCACTATTATTTAGATAATTTCTTCCGGAAAGTTTGTTGCGAGCAATACAGTTATATAGACCTCCGTCATATACACTGAACATCCATACAACGAAAAAAGGCTGTACACTAGTGTAAATTTTGATATGGTTTTCACTATTACTTAGATAATTTCTTCCAAAAATTTTATAGTAGTATTCCAAGTATACATATAATTACATTATAGCCCTCATACATATTATACATCCGTGCATCAAATTAGTCTGCAATAAAAATAATTATTTCTTAGCAGCCTCCTTTTCTTCATTCTCTTGCTGCAACTCCTGAAGCATCTGTATGGTTTTCTGCCGTCTCTTCTCTAATGGTGTCTTATACCACCAAGATTCGGCTGAAGATTCCTGTACACATAATCATTTGTATATTTTTTAATGTTAACAAATAATGCACAAACATTTTTGGTGACACCACTCTTTATACAATTTTGATTATTACAATTCTTGTACACAGCCTTATGTTAGTAATAGACCTAAAAATATAGTTCTAATTAATCGCTTATGATAACCTAACCTATTTTTTGATAATGATTTCTTTATCTGTCTCATTCGTGTGTTTATAATAATATAATAATATCAGGACAATTCACACAGCGCCATCTAGACCCAAGTTAGCTAAAGCTTGTGTTATGGGTACTAGATAACTGTTATATATATATAGATATATATATATATATATATATATATATTGTAAATATATACATATTATACATAGAAAACACCCTGACCGATACAAACAATCATACTCATGAATACAATTGTTTGTGCCGTGCGGGGAATCTAACCTGCGACCATCGATCGCAAAGCGGTGTGCTAGACCGCTAGACCACCGAGGTCGTCAAAGTCCAAGTTTATTAGTTCCAACTTTGATTTTATTTCATATTTTGTCAATATATTAAATTACCTGTTCAGCATATACAGGTTCTCTAGAACTTAACTGTACAGCCACTTCTTGGGCAGTCAATGCACGCACGCGTAGCTGAAGACGCCGCTTCGTTGTCAGCACTGCATTTAGAGCAGCTAATAAAGTCCCTGTAAATATAATTGAATTTTAGAGATATCCTAGCTGTATATTAATTTACTAGCAAGCTACATATCCCGGGTTTACATGAGTACAAATGTAGTAAATACAGCAATTTTTTTAAGTAAAGTTTACTCACTGATTGTTTATAGGTCATTATTTGTTAGTTTTAAAGTATATCCATTACAAACTAAAAATGCAATAATTTCTTTTCATAAATTAGATTATAAAACCCGAGAGTGCGATTAAAATTATAAATTTATCATCGCTTAAACAGTTTATTTTATTGGATAAAAACTGCTAACGTTCAATGCAAAAAAAAATACAATTACTGCAAAATTAAATATATGTTAAAAAAAACATTTTATACTTAATAGTTATACAGTAATTGTCTTATCTAATCTATTTGTTTTTTAATATTAAAAAGGAAAAAGAACTAATTTTGAAAGTGAAGATTAATAAGTAAATAAAACGTATTGAAACTTGGTCGGTAATATTTGTATACTGCAAAGAGTTACCTATGGTATAAGAATCAGAAACTCTAGCCAAGCAGGATACGTCTAATCTTGGAGATAAAGCACCAGCCTTATGAAGTTTCATCTTCCACATCATTGATATACTCCCGTAATCAGCTTTTGGAATCTGGATAATTTTATTGTAGCACTGAAAAAGTAGTTTCTGCTCTGCATCCCAGGGATATTTTGAAGTGCCAATAAATATTACGCGGTCTTCTGGACATATGCCTATAAAATCGTTTTAATTTGGAATTAAATTATTAATCAGACGACATTATTATTTTTATATACGAAAATGTGTTGAGTTATTAATTTTATTTTACCTTTAATAATTTTCACCAAGTCTTTTTTTAATCTCTTCGGATCAGTTTTGTCTGTTTTTGGTATTTTTTTCACGAATGGCTTCTCAGCATCGTCCATCCATATGACAGATGGTTGCAATAATCTTGACACTTTCATAACCAAATGTAACAACATTATTAGACCAGACTTTCCTGGATATTTGCCCACTATATTGGCCGGAGTCAAATCAAAGAGCATAGCGCCAGTTTCGCTACATACAGAATGAACTAACATTTTCTTACCACTTCCAGAATGACCTAAATAGTAACAAAATGCTTTAATTGAGGACTTAACATTTGCTACTATTATTATATTTATTTTACAAGTGTATTATTTTTACCTGAAATGAGAACAGATCTTACTAAAGGTGCATTCATCCTAACGTGTTCCGAACCTAATGGCAATATACAGTATTCCTTTATCAACTGTCTAATATCTCCCAGACATGGTGTTGGTTCTTGTCCCTGACTTCTCCATTGAGATCCAACGTAACTCTTTTCCCCAACAAAGTCATCTATTTTAGTAATAGGATAAGGACGTATAATTCCATTAGATACTAATTCTTCGAAAAGCGATTCTGTAGTTCTGTCTGGAGTCAGATCCTTTTCTTTCTTCTTTTTACTTTTTTTACCTCCACGTCGTGCCTGAAACAATTTATCATAATCAAATAAGTACTGTACATAAATGATAATAATTTAACATAATATCTGGATTTGTATGGAGACTCATCCATACATCTACTTACATAACAATAGGCATCATAATCTCGAGGTTTTTTTGTGCGATTAAACATGCAGTGCCGTATTTCAGTACGTGTTTGAGGAATGGCATGCTCTGTCATAAGAGGAAAAATACGTATAAATAATTCTCTCTGAAGACTTATTTATAAGACTATATAACATATTATGTATAAGTGGTGATTGGTTACCGATTTACAGCAGATAAAGTCATGTATAATCTGTTATCCACAGATGACATAATTGTATCCTATGACAACATATATTCTAATTTCAGTACAATAACTAACAAATCATTATCATTACATAGTATAAAACAAAGTCGCGGTTGTTATCTGTCCGTCCCTATGTTTATTTAAATCTTTAAAACTACACAACGGATTTTGAAGTCGTTTTCTTTTAATATATAGAGTGATTCAAGAGGAAGAGTTATATGTACAATACATGTATACCTGTGCGAAGCAGGGGTGGGTAGTTAATTGTTTATAAATCATTTTCAGTAACAAATTTTTAATTAACGCTAAAAGATAGAAAAGCTCACCTTTTGAGGTTTTTTAGATTTTTTACCCTTTTGTGCTCTATCCCGATCATACGCAGCTTGAAGTAATTCTAACTCACTCCGCATCATTTCATCAACCACCTTTCTGATTTCTTGCTCAATTTTCACCATTTTATCTCGCTCTATTACATCTTTATAATATCTCTCATGAGGATCATCTGTACTGTCTTTAAATTTCCAAATATCTTCAAATCTGTTTTTAAAAACATAATTGATTCTGAGAATGTATTTTGTATGAAATAAAATTTTTAATAAAAAATATTATTAATTATTGGTACAAATGCATATAAACAAAAATAACTTACTCCTCATTAGCATTTACAAGGTCTTTTAAAAAAGCAGAGTTATTGCATTTAAACATATTCAGATCTTCCCCTTCATCCTTAGCTTTATTGTTTTCTTCAGATTTATTATTCTTTTTGTCTTTACTATCTTTGCTTTTTTTGGATTCTTTAGAAGATACAGGAGACTTACTTAATTCACTATCCATTCCGGTTCCTAGAAAAGTTCTATCTATATTATTTATAGGTATACTATCTATGAATTGAAGCTTTAGTGATGAAGTAATGAACCTTTTGTACTTAATAATAAATGTCTTGAATTTTTTTCAAAGATCTTAACAACTGAAGCTATTATTGCTAAACTGAAACTGTTGATTTTTCATACATACCTTGCCTGCTATACATAGCTCTACTACCACCGCTTTCTTCAGGTGGCAATTCAGGAAACCTTTCGGTCCTTTCATAATATTCCGATATCCACCTTCTAAGCTCATCACCTATTTGTTCATTTATTTTTACTCCGTGCTGCTTTCTAAGCTGTTCTTCTATCGTATCTAATGCTTCTTTGTATTCAATTTCTCTTTCAGATTGAAGATCCCGTCGATACTCTTTTACCTGAAGTATTATTACATTTTATTCATTATATTAATTAAATTATTTTCTTTTTACATTACTTCGTACTATTTTTAATAATGCTTATGCTTGTGATCACTGAATTGACCTTAATTATTAATCCGTATCATTGTAATTAAGTAATAATGATAATAACTAAGTTGAGATCAATTTAGATTTATTATATGTTATGTTACTTGTTAGAAATTAATGTTAGTCGGTATTTCTTACTATATATATATATATATATACTTTCATAGTTTAATCAAACATCTTTGTCTAACGATGAATAATTATGTATTGTTTAGTGAAAATATAAATTTTGATGACCTCGGTGGTATATCGGTCTAGCACACTGCTTTACATCCGATGGTCGCGGTTCGATTCCTCGCATGGCACAAACATTTGCATTCATGAGTATGATTGTTTGTATCGGTCTGGGTGTTTACTATGAATAATACGTACGTATTTACGAAAAAAAAAAATTATCTATGTATTTTTATCAGTTATCTAGTACCCATAACACAAGCTTCAGCTAGCTTAACTTGGGTCTAGATGGCGCTGTGTGAATTGTTCTGAGATTATTTTTATTATTATTATTATTACTTACTTCTTCTGCTCTTTTTTGCTCCGATGACGGTGTGTACGGAGGTAGCTCCATACCAATAAGTAATTGTTCTTGCCTTTTCCTCTTCCTAGTCTCTCGTCTAGCAATAAAACCTCTCCATACTCGTTGGATTGCAGTCGCGGCAGTGGCAGACATTTCAGTTTTCTGATCTCTGCCTTTTTCTTTTAAAAGACGAATTTCTTTCATAAATTGACCTCTGTAGACAATATAGATTACTAACTGTATTCTGCGGCACTGCCCATATAAGTTCTGATAATAAGCATTGTTAAATACGCTGTTAAATTCGCTTTGTGTTCCTTTATTTATTAAAAATTCAATGCACAGAGCATTAAAGGTTTAATAAATAAATAAGTTTAGAATGTGATCTGTTAGTGTACCAAATATCATTCTAATAAATTAAGTGGTTTTTAAGTTTGAAACTGAAAGCAACATCCATTTTACCTTACAGTCTTGAAAGAACCTTTAAGAGGAACAGAAATAGGGGTAAAATTTAAGAGTTTGGGTGTTTAGAGAAATCTCAGATAACTCTATTATGCTATTATTTTATATTGTATAACATATTTATCTAGAAAGACTATAGGTTATATAATATTACACTACAATAAATAGGAGAGGACAAATGTAGCAAAGAAGTGAAAAATCTGACAAATGTTTTTTAAAAAAATATCCTCTAATTATGTACATAAATCTCATCCCTAAAGTATCATTAAAGAACTTTATCGTATTTTCCCTATAGGATACAGAATAATTATTGCGTTTCACTTATATAAAACTCTAGAATGAGTTTTATCTCTGAGTGTTTATCGCTGACTTTAATCTTTGAGTATCATGTATTTTTTTTTATAAGGAAACAAAACAAAATACCAATATTGCAAATTTGCACTGCCAACAACTTATCTCTGCACAACTCATGGTTGCCTGGTAGAAAATGCCATTAGGTGTTAACTCTGTCATATGTACTTTTTACCTGTGTATGACGTGTATTAAAGTTATTTAAATTTAAAAAGAATATATATTACAAAATTAATTCACATTCTTTTTTTTTTTATAACACAGGGGACAAACGAGCATGCGGCTCACCTGATGGTAAGTGATTACTGCCGCCCATGAGCACCCGCAACACCAGGGGAATAGCAAGTACGTTGTCGGCCTTTTAAAAAGGAATAAGCTCTTTTCTTGAAGGTTTCAATATCGTATCGGTTCGGAAATACCATTGCTGGAAGGTGATTCCACAATGTGGTTGTGCGAGGCAAAATGTTTCTAGAAAACCGCATTGTGGAAGACCGCCATTCATCCAGATGATCAGGATGGTATTTCAGTTTCTGGCGGGTGGTACGGTGGTGAAACTCAGCAGCTGCTATTAATCCGAACAATTCCTCAGAACACTCCCCGTAATATATGCGGTAGAAAATGCATAGAGATGCAATATCAAATCAAAAAATAAACAATAGTCGTCTCTAAGGCGCAGGCCACCCCTAAAGTTGTCCATATTTTCCATTTTGACGGCTTCTGTGGTCTAGTGGTTTAGCACGTCGCCTTATTTCCGATGGTCGCATTGGTTCGATTCCTCGCACGGCACAAACATTTATATTACATGAGAATAATTGTTTGCATCGGTCTAAGTGTTTTCTATATATAAAATGTATGTATTTACGAATATGTACCCATGTATTTGTGTCAGTAATTTTTATATTACTATAGTGGCAAACAGGCATACGGCCCATCTTATGGTAAATGGTTACCATAACCTATGGACGCCTGAAACACCAGGGGTGTCACGTGCGCATTGCCGACCCTTAAGAAACCTTAATATACCCTTTTTGAAGTTGTTGTATACCCTATGCTGTAGTCTTGTGAGAAAACCTCGGCAGGTAGTTCATTCCACAACCTACGTGTACGTGTATCAGTTATCTAGTACCCAAAATACAAGCTTTAAGAAGCTAAACTTGGGTGTAGATGGCGCTGTGTAAATTGTCCTGAGATTATTATTATTAAATGTAAAGCATAATCATAAATGTAAATGTAATAAATAGTAAACAAATTTTATTATTGTCACAGATCTTATTTTACTTACCTCAATCTTCCTTGTCTGGCTCTTTCATGGCTCTGTATAATGAGAACGGCCTGTTGTTCAGTCAACACAAGTGGTTGAGGTTTAGGCGGTTCATAGCCCAGTTTGGTCAATGTGTCGATGACAAATTGTCTACGGCTGTTGACCTCTTCCTGTCTTTCTCTGATAAAGTATTGTGGAACTACCGGTTCAGCTTCGTATGGTGTCACTTGTAGCTTTACAAGCCCCTGTTAATTAGATGGCAATTATTAGAAAATACTTAAAAGAGAAGAGGTTGGATTGGTTGGTTGCTTCACTAAAACATAATCATTACATAGTAGAAAACAAAATCGCTCTCGCTGTCTGTCCCTATGTATGCTTATATCTTTAAAACATCGCAACGGATTTTTTTTAATAGATAGTGATTCAAGAGGAAAGTTTACATGTATAATACATGTACACCGGGGGGGAAATGGGATTGTTAGTAATGTGGACAAATGAACCTATTACTAGCAATGTACCATGTCAGGTTGACCTCCACGCGGTTCCCCCTGGAAACCATCGTGTTAAATTTCTGGTGAATTTGTCACGATGGGCTAACTGACCTGACCTCATGCTCATATTATCACCCTCCACTGGTGCCCCGCCAGCGTAAACCGTTAGCGCAGGCGGGTGCACCATTCCATTATCATCTACAAAAAAAAAAAAATACATGTACACCCGTGCGAAGCCTGGGAGAGTAGCTAGTAATTAATAAATAAAACAATCTATTTACAAACTTATTATAGCTATTGAATTATCCCGTACTAATTTTTTTTTTATGTTTATTTTAGTTAATTTCTTAATTCAAAGTAAGAAACAGTTTTGTTTTTTGGTTCTGTTTATCCTTTAATGGAAAGGCAAAGGGAACTACGGCCATACGGCTATGTCTGCATGTTTTTGATTTATTTGATTAGAAAATACAGTAATAGTTGAAATAGATTTGTTTATATGCTGATATATCAGATATAATATTAGCAAATTTAATATATTGTTCAATATATCATATGCTGTTTTGAAAGTATAGGTTGTAGTTGAAAAATAGATTAATTTAATTATCTGTATAAATAATCTTTAATTATTCAAATAATAAAACCCATTCACAAAAAAAAATGTTTAAATGTATTAATAGTGAAATCAGTAAAATTAAAGAGTTCGTCAGTAATAAGTTTTTATTTATGATTAAAAATTTCACACGTAATGCATATTTTATTATTGTTTATAGGGGCAGTATATTTGTGTTATTATTGTAGTTATATTATTATTTATATAAGTAGTATATTACATTAGCAGTTACATACGGACATTAAAAGGTACAAAGAATAAAGTTAAACAATTATCAATTAAGAGTGCAAGAAAAAAGTATGTATGCGGAAGCAGTTTATAAAAAGTTTTATTTTCGCGCGCAAAACATAATACGCCACAGATACATAATATTGCACGGGGCACAGACGCAGTAGAAAGACGAGCGGATCATAGCTGTATGAGATGGTATATTAATACTAAGTATGAGTATTAACAATAAGCATACATCGATTTATCATTAAGTATAATGATTGTATAAATACTTACCTCGTCGTCATCATAGGTGTAATCTGACATGTTAAGTTCTACCAAGTCATGTTTAATTTCAATTAATCTCCCTAAACAAGCTTCTAGCAACCTTCTAACAACTATACGTTTCTGTGGTTGCAATAGTTGATCGTACACAGTATCTAATCTAGCAAGTAGTACGGTATATCTGATACGAATTTCTGAAAGCAGCGGTTGTAGAGCTGTACGTTCTGCTGCTCCCGCTTCAAAAAGCGCTTCATCTACTTGCGTAGCTTCTACTAAAATCTCTGATGTCTCGCATAGCAAATCATTATATGTTTTGTTGGACATTTTTGTTATATTTCTTTTTTTTTTTTTGTGTCACTATTATTCACTCATTTAACTTGTTATTTAACAGTGCTTTTCAATCTTATTAAACTCACAAACAACCTATTAGTTTACTTCATAGAATAGTAGTGATGAATATGAAAATAACCAATAATATTACATCGTCAAGATACTTGTGGTACCTCTGATACGTGTCACGTCTCTGTACTCGATAATTTCTCTACAACATCTTACTTTTCAAACCAACATGTAGATTATAAAGCAAGCGGCTTGTCGACGGAAATAGGTGAAATAGTGGTATTCCTAAAAAATCTACCTCGGTAAAATCAAACTTTGGCCTATGTTTAACAAAGATTTGGAGATTTAGCCAAATTGAAGAGGAAACGCCTCTACGTATACTATGTGGTTGTACTCCACTCTTGCATTAATGAAACTCCTTTGGAAAGTATTTTAATCCTGAGGAGATAACAACCATCGCTCCTAAGAATATCCTTCAATTCTTGTCCCTGACGGGCCTAGGTAACAAACTTTAAATAACGGCGAGCATAATACATCCCTGCAGGTTGCTGTGCTATAAGTATCTTTAGCACTTAATATTTGCCCAAACTCCTTAATAAAATTTAAAGATTATTTAAAGCGTACACTACACATTAATTTTAAAAATAAGTAATACGTTTTTTTAAACACTTATAAAACAAGCTTATTATTAAACTTTAATTAAAAAAACATATCGTAAAACGTTATTTTAAACACTTTTAAAACAATACTTTTCACATGTAATGAAACATATATCACGTCTCACATAAAACACAATACAGTTTATCGAACAAACCCCGTTGCCACGGTCGTCGCTATCGACGTTGTCACGGATGGATTAACAGCTTTTTGTTAAATTATAAGCGGCGCTGCGAATAAATAGCACTTTTTCACCTCTTATCGTTTATTTTTATTTCAATGAATCTCGTTAAATGTTTTGGAAATTATTAAAAATATTGAATCTGTCCACACTATGTATTATTTAATGGGATTTATAGAATATATATCTCATAACAAACATAAGATATGTTTATTATGAAATATCCTGTATAACATTTAGTAGTTGGAGGGAAAAGCGATTGTTAGTAATGTCAATGGGATCAATGGTCCCATTGACTATTCATCCGCCATACTCGTGATTACAGCAGACCAGTCCCTACAAGCAGCACTCAGGTACTTGTAGCGACTGGTCTGCTCTAATCACTACGACTGATTTACTTTTATTTAGTTACTCAAGCAGTTGGTTGCATATTTAATATTTTCTCTATTTGAGTTCATAAAAAATGTAAAGTAACAATAAAATTATTTAAAAGAGCAACACGCAAGATCTCGCTCATTCTTCTTGTGAGGAGACAGATTAGAGCGGTAGATTGAAAAAAAAGGTCACTATAATATGCGGACGAAGTCGCGGTCTCACCTAGCGTTATAATATGTGTATACAAAGATAGCTCTTATAAAAATGCATTTAGCAACATGGATCCATTCAAACACTGTTTTAGAGATGACTGCTTTTTGCTGATAACTGTTAAAACAAGCATTAGTTACTCTAACAGAATGCCATCAAAGTTCCTCAAGAATATAATATCCGTTCTGAGCAGGTTGTACGAGGTAATATTTATTAGAGCTGACATTATTATGAATATCGCATGCTTAATCACATAAGCATGCTTATTATTACAGTAAAGTGCATGATATTGATAAAATATAGGCTCATTTGTTTTTATAATCGTTTTTATTTATATATTGGTTGAAAAATTATATATGCTACGTTTTATGGGGATTTCTACAGCTATTTAGACATAAAACAGCAAACAAAACAATGAACTTTCATAACTACAATAATAATTTTAATTTTGTTCATTCGATTTATTTTACATATATGAATGTTAATAATATTAGAATATTACTGAAAAACTTTAAGTGGTTCTTGAATAAGTAATGAATTTCATTTACAGTAAACTATTTATCAAAATACTACTAGTATTTATAAATACATTAAGCGCAATTAAAAGCGTATTACATGAGTTAAATTGTAAATTGGTACCACATAAAAGTAAATTAATAGTATATAATTAAAATTCTGGTTAAATTGAAGTCTGGGTTTTCATAACTTGATATTAAATGCTGTGTTACCGTACTATATGTAATTTGCTAGAAAAATTGTAATATAAACGACATTAATATTTTTTTAGTATGAAAAAATATAGAGCAACTTCTTTCATATAAGTTTACACCGTGCTTGGTTTTCAGTTTTTCTGGGTTACCAAACCCTAGAAAAAAATAGTAGTGGTATATAGAAACAATAGATAAATTGTTCTGTTTTTTTTTGTTAATAATTTATAACTTCTAAGTATGTCCGTTAATTGTGAATACATACCAACTCCACAAATGCAACCTCGTGGTCCACGCCTGCGATTAACGTCTACACATATGCAAGTCTTATTTACTTAAGTGGGTGCTTTTCCTTCAGGAAATTGCTTCAAACACTGCGCGGCTGCTGGCATGTGATAACTACCACTTATACTGAAACGCGCATTTAAACTAAGCATTTGTTTATATTTGTAATCAAATAATAACAACGACTCTGTTACCCGTATAACACGATTAGAGAGTATAATTAATGGAATAAAGAAAATTAAGTGAAAATTTGTAGGGTGAGAAAAGGCGGGAAAAATATAGAATAAGAGGCTTGAAAGATGTCAATTTTATAATCAAATAATAACAACGACTCTGTTACCAATATGTCATACGATTAAATAATATAATTAATGAGAAAAAGAAAAATTAAGTAAAAACTTGTAGGCAGAGAAAAGGCAGGAAAATTACAGGATAAGAGGCCTGATGTGAATTTTATAGTCAAATAATAATAATGACTCCGTTAGCAGTATATAATACGACTAAGTAATATAATTAATGAGAAAAAGAAAAATTAAGTAAAAATTTGTAGGCTGAGAAAAGGCAGGAAAATTACAGGATAAGAAGCTTGAAAGATGTGCATTTTATAGTCAAATAATAATAATGACTCCGTTAGCAGTATATAATACGATTAAGTAATATAATTAATGAGAAAAAGAAAAATTAAGTAAAAATCTGTAGGCTGAGAAAAGGCAGGAAAATTACAGGATAAGAAGCTTGAAGAATGTGAATTTTATAGTCAAATAATAATAATAATAACTCCGTTAGCAGTATATAATACGATTAAGTAATATAATTAATGAAAGAAAGAAAAACAAAGTAGAACATTTGTGGAGTGACAAAAGGTAGTAAAACAACAAGATAAGAGGCTTGTAAGATATCAATTTTGTAACCAATTAATAATAATGACTCTGTTAGCAGTATATAACAGGATTAGGGAATGCAATTAATGAAAGAAAGAAAAACAAAGTAGAATAATTGTGGAGTGACAAAAGGCAGTAAAATCACAAGATAAGAGTCTTGTAAACATAAATTTTGTAATCAATTAATAATAATGATTCTGTTAGCAGTATATAACAGGATTAGGGAATGCAATTAATGGAAGAAAGAAAAACAAAATAGAATAATTGTGGAGTGACAAAAGTTAGTAAAATAACAAGATAAGAGGCTTGTAAACATGAATTTTGTAATCAATTAATAATAATGACTCTGTTAGCAGTATATAACAGGATTAGGGAATGCAATTAATGAAAGAAAGAAAAACAAAGTAGAATAATTGTGGAGTGACAAAAGTTAGTAAAATAACAAGATAAGAGGCTTGTAAAGATGAATTTTGTAATCAATTAATAATAATGATTCTGTTAGCAGTATATAACAGGATTAGGGAATGCAATTAATGAAAGAAAGAAAAACAAAGTAGAATAATTGTGGAGTGACAAAAGGTAATAACAGATAGATAGATAAGGTAATAACAAGATATGAGGCTTGTAAGATATGAATTTTGTAATGAATTAATAATAATGACTCTTTTAGCAGTATATAGCACGATTACGGAATGTTACGGAATGTTAATGAAGGTAAAAAAAAAATAAGTAAAAATTTGTAAGGTGAGAATAGGCAAAAATTACAGAATAAGACGCTTGACATCTTAGTCTGCCATACTGACAGTGCACGAACGGTTAAATTTCAAACTATTTAAATTCTGTTGGCTGCTCTCCAAACCCGAAACTTATGGAACGGCTGAAGACCAAATCCTATCTGATAGAGACGGCTATATACTAAGACGTCGGAAAACAAGCATACTGCCCATATGATGGTAAACGGTTACCTATGGATGCCTGAAATACCAGAGAGGCAACCCTTAAGAAACCTTACTAAAACCTTCTTAAAAGTCCCATGCTGTAAATACCATAGTTGACGTAGTGAACTAACTTAAAACAGTCATGCTCGCTATAAAGTTTAAACTTGTGACGGCGTGGTGGTCCGGGTCAATGTGCTCTTTCTAATATGGTTGAGTGCAATGATGACTGGCTCATCCGTCATAATCGTGAACAGGTACTGCTTGTGGGGACTGGTCTGTTATGGTTACAAACACTATTTGCTTTTGGCAAAATTACAATATCATATGCTAATGGTTAAATAGCAATTAAAAATGAATCTGTATTATTGTAAACATGTACAACCATATTTTAAAAGAATATGAGCTGAGTTTTTGTCAGTTCTTCTCATCTTGAAAGCATTTCAAAATGACGGTAGATTTGACATATCATAAGAGTTTGTAATAGAACATGAATAAAGATATTATGATTTGATTCCACAGCAATAATTGTACGCGGGAGGGAGCTCCTCTAAAACCGCATTGTTCGAGACCACTTAGGTTCCAGCGTTTGGGGCTGAATTCTCTGTTGATAGGAAGCGAATATTTGTGAATCTTGGCTCATACAATCCACGTTCTAATATGACAGGGAATTTCGGAGGTGGTCCCAGGTTTGTATGAATATTTTTTTTATAATTGGAATGTATGTATACATATGGTCTTCTAGATCTATTTT